CACCGGAGACTGCTGTGCCCCAGAGCAGGCATCTGGCAGAAAAACTGCTGTTGCCCAGCCGGCAATACTCACATGAAGCTGCTTTTGCCACAGCCAGGAGGACCATACAGCAGGTAGCCTCTTCGGTAGGGGATCCCTAGGAAGACAATATCCTTTTAGGAACCAGCTGGGCTGCTCTGAGCTCCCTACCCCAGAGCCATGGGGCTACACCAGAGGAAGGCAAGCAGCCAGACCAAGTTTCTCTGCAGCTGTCTCCAGGGAGGACCACAAGCATCCTGCCCCATGCCACAACAGTGTCGCAGGAGCAATGAACTCCGTGCCTTATCACGGTTTCCAGGATTGGATTGAACCAAGGGGAGTTTGTCCCTTTGCAGACCCAGGCCTGACCTTAGCACCTGGGCTCACTCGTTTGCAGGATGTGCCTGAGGTGGTGCCCCACAGCCATGGCTGCACAGGGGTAAGGAGCCACAATGGACACGGTACAGAGGACACCATGCCAGAGCCTTGCCTCTCTCGCTGTACCACTTGGGGTTGTCGATGAACTCCTTCACGTCCTGGACCAGCCTCTCTGAAACACATTCCTCCAGCACCACCGAGCTGAGAGGCCGCCGCCGGCGGGGGGAGCCCAACTGCCGCCACTCTGCTCCCATGGCCGTGTACATGATTGTCCTCCCCTCCTGCTGCTGCAGCGCCAGCTCCCGGGCTGCAGAGAGAGGCAGAGGAGACAGGTGGCAGGGAAAAGGATCTCCCATGAAGCCCTGGGCGTCTCCAGGGAGCAGGCTGTTCCCCACGGGCCCCTCGTAGATCCACTACAGACCTTCCTGGAGGATATTGAAGAAGATCTCCCGGTTGGTGCCCAGCGCAGTGAAGGTGACGGACTCCCAGGGGGTCCCCGTGTGCAGGTCAATCATCTGCTTCTCCCGGTTGCGCTCAATGCGAATCCACTTCCTGCGATACCTGGGGTGGGAAGACGGGGTTGGAGGACGGTAGTCCAGCACCACTCAGCTGAGCCCAGCTCGGGTCGCGTATCACGGAGAACACTCATCTTGGCTAAAGAAATCACTTCACGCCAGTGAATACAGGCTCCTCTTGCTACCCTCAATCTCCTGCTCCAATCCAGACCCAAGGAGGAGGCAGGATCCTCTCTGCTGCCTCCACGGGCCCCCCAGGTTGGAGTTTCCTTGCTAAAACAAGGGTCAGACTGCTTTCCCCTGCCCTCCCTTACCAGATGAAATGGTTTCCAGGGCTGGGGACAAAGTCGAACTTGGTGCTGACACGCCCGCTTTCATGCTGCAGGTACGATGTCTCGACGCTGAGGTGTTGTGTGTGCTTGGCATGGTGGGAGATCCAGTTCAGCAGCCAGTGGTAGCTCTTATCCTTGCTGGGCACCTCCAAGGTGATCATATAATGGCGCCTGAAAGCCACCAGCCCAAACTGGGCCCCTTTCCGGGCTAAGGCCAGGGCTGTCCCCACCCCAACAAGGCCAAACCCAGCCCCGAAGTATGGGTTGTCCTTCAGTGCTAAGACAAAGTCAGAAAAGGGCATTGTGGGAGGTTAAGCAGCTCCTTTACACAACATCCTCTCTGCACTCCAGAAACAAACCTGCATGGAAAGAGAAGGACTGAATGGCAGCAGGTGACACAATGGATCACCCACAGTTCCCCGGCCTTTATTGTGACCAGTTCTCAAGGTGAAAGGCTGCCAGGCACACTCGGATCTCCCACATCCACGCTCATCTTATTAGCGGCGGCTCAGACAGCCGCTGGCCACAGGAGCCTCCTCCCTCTCTGCAGGCCACTGAGCAAAACAGGCAGGAGGGGGCCAGGAGCTGGAGGCTCTCAAGCAAGCACAGGAGCATCTGTTGCTTCTTCAGCCATGACAACAAGCCCAGAGGTTTACACAGTTTTTATTCTTTAAGCAGCTAGAAGTCATGACCATTACAGTTATTTAAGGTTTATTGTTTGAAAAAGCCAAATCGCCTGCCCAGGCTGAGCCAAGAGCTGGTTCTTTGCTGCTGGCAGTGGGTGCACGACTGTGGTGGAAGCAGCATCGCTACGTCTGGATAAAGGCGGCCAGCCACACGCTTAGGGAGCTTGAAGCTTCTCCAGCTCCCTCAGCAGAGGCCTGGCAGACACAGGGGATGAGGGGGAGGCTCCCCGGGCAGACAGACAGACTGACAGG